AAAATACTTCAAACTAATCGACTAAAGAAATAAACCAAAACTAACCATAGCTAGACTCAAAGCACAAAGAATTTACAATATTTCATTCACTACAATACATTTGTTGTTCCAAAGATTTGACTAGAATGTTATCTGAAATGAAAGACTCCTCTGTAGCATTGGTGGGATGAATGTTTGGTCCATCTTGTTTTGCCAGTAACCGTCATTCTTCACAGAACGTCTTGTTTGCACGCACCCTAGCGTTTCAGAGAACACTGCTCCAAACATCACATTGAGCATAAGTCTAACCCAATCTGTGGAGGGACACCCTACGATGCTGTGTGATGAAATAAACAAAGCTATAGGTATCTAGCTGATTTAAAGATCAACATGTCCGACTTCTCTTTAGCTGTGATTCAAGCTAGTATATTACTTTCATTGGAAGTCTATTACCATTTGCAGCTTGTATTCCCTGTAACAAGAGACACTGACCCCATGATAATGAAATCAAGACGGCAGACAGCTTGCTCTGAATTTCCAGTATCCAGGTCCATGACACAAATTGTTCGGGACAGAGTGCTTGCATACTATAACGCTGTCTCTTAAGGCGAAAGCAACACACACATGCATGTATACACACACAGGCACAGGGTAAAGAGGAGACAGCGGTGTGCTGTCAGCCACAGAGGCTGATTTATCCTCTGTCGCTGCTCTCATTCCTGTCCTGCAGACCACAGGCATGAGGGATGCCTTTAATTTCCCATTAAAATGCCCTGGAACAAGTGAGGGCTGAGGCTGCAGTGTGTGTCACTGTCTGTGTGTGTGGATAGCTTGATTACACCGGGTGACAGTGCTAGATGTGTGTTTGTGCACAGCGGTTGGCAGTGGCGTTTCTCAGGAAGCGGTAATGTTAGCGCACATCATTCCGCATGACACGGGCCACAGCTCCAGGGCCAGGCCCATCGATAAATATTAATGGCCGAGAACAAGTGGATTGGGAGTTGAGTTATCAGGGCGGGCCTTCCTAATTGACATTTTACCTGCTGTATACCTTAACAGGGCTGTAAAGCAGCAGGCTCAGCCATGGAGGGGGATGTGTCACTCATCTCTGCTCCATCATGCTGCCTTCCTCTGGGAGAGAGGAGCTCCGCCGCTCATTGTTCACATTCAGCACCGAGCTGTTATATATAGCCTTTTAACATCAAGACATTATTACAGTTCCATTTAGATGAAGAAAGATACGATTACAAACAAAGCTACAGCTCCCTGCACTGCGTCACTGACAGCAGGTTGAATTTGGATTTTATCAAATGATTAACTGTTTTAGCTCAGCAAATCACAAGACAAAGTTCATTTCAGATCCGCTTTTCTGGCTAAATATATTTTCACAGCCAGTTAAAAATTATATATTATATAATCAATTTTTACATTATTTAAAATAAATAATTCCATGTACTGTCGCACACTGATGGACTTTAATATACTGAGATGTTTTCTGTAGTTCACTTGTTCTGCGGTTGTTTTGTCCTCCTGCCCAGAGACACCAGATGATCCTAGCCAACTCTGGTGCCATTCATTTGAATTGTACAAGTATAAACTAAATAGTAATAATAAAATAGAAGTAAAAAAATGCACAAGTTAATTCGATGGCAATGTTATGCTGCATCATTTCTCAATGCATCTTTTGGTCCAGAAAAGGACAGAACATAGAGGGAAGTAGGGATGAACCAAAATAAAGAGAGTCAAATAGTAGGACCGGATATCGGTGGGCCAATTACATCTTTGTATTTTCATACTTTATAAATGATGGACTGGAATGTTAATACCTTTCCTTTTGGAACAATGTCTGCATTAAACAGGTTTAAGCGTCAATTGAAAGTTCTGAGGATTTTGTAGTAGTGTACAATTCAGTTTTTTAATTCAGAAAAACATCTCAGAAGATGTATATCTGTGTGAATTATGTTTGACTCAAACTTGATGTTGCCTTAAAAATAAAAGCATGATCCTATTTATTACAGATTGAGGCATTCAGCATTTGAAAAAAACTTTAAAGTAACACATTCAAATTGCTTGTTTTGTCCAATCAACACTACACAACACAATTACATTCAATGTAGTATCATAGAAGAGAAAAGCCAACATATATCAACATCTGTTGGGCAGGAAACTTTAGCTTTTTTGCTAGAAGAAAGTTACTGTTAAAATGTTGCATCGATTGTTTCACACATTATTTTTCCCTCTTCAATCACAGTTACATAAAAAAAGAGCCTCTCATAACAGAATTTCACATGTTCATTTATCAATCACATTCTTCTCTTTCCCTGCCAGAGAATGGCAGTTCAAACACACTCTCAGACTGGGAAGGCATGTAAACAATCTCAGAGGCCTTTAGCATACTCTCGCCACATTACTACACTCATCCAAAATATTCTACTTCCAAAGAAGATACACGCACTTAACTGCAGACAAAACACAATCATACAAAGCGGACCCACAAAAGTGTCCCCACTTACAAGATCTGAAAATTGACAGGCGGGGCAGAAAACAAACAATTATTCCCGGAGCACGGGGGGAGAGAAATCGAAGATTGAGAAAACAAATATGGGTGATGTGATCAAAGCCAAATGGCAGGCCCTGTGTGAGAAAGACTGGAGAGTCTATTCATATTTACTGTTGCCAGGATTTCAATATCAACATCATAGGAAGCACATCAGATGTCTCCCTTTCCACTGACTGATTCACAAAGAGAAGCATGAGCTGCCATCTCTATTTGATGAAAATGAAAATACAACAAAAAGGTTAATCCATAGACAAACACCATTAAATAAACAGCTCATAATGCCGGGAATATTAGCAGCACTTATATGAAATGGCAGATAATTATATTTTCTAAAGGCCAATGTTTGTAATATTTTTTTGAAAAGAGCAAATGTGACTCAGTGGTTGCTGTGATTTATGAGCGTTTGTGAAGATGCAGTGTAGCGTTGTAATAACGCCAAAAACCATGGAGGAGAACCAAACACACACACACACAAGTCTGATTACAGACAAAGTGGGGCCAACCTACCACGCAGGTACCTCTCTTGATATGTTGTTCTTCAATCCGTGTTTTCCAAATAATCTCCCGGGATTGCAGACATAATTGATGTATTTACCCGTACTCTGTCAATTAAGCATCAGATATAAAACTGCACTGCAACTTTGGAACACATTGCTAAAGTCCTCTGCTACTGCTGTGCCACTGAGTATCTGGCGCCACCAAGAGGCCACATTCAAAACATCTATTCAGCTGTAATACAAGCAAATTAAAAGAAAAGATTGAATTTTGTGCATAGATAACCAAATTATATTGAAACATGTTAGTATTATTAATGTTTAAGTTAAAGAAGAAACTTGCATATTTATATAAGAAGAAAGTACAAATATGAATCTTTTAAATGTCAATGTGATATGACCCTTTCTCTGACTTTTTCAAAATCTGACATTTGCAACACTTTTATTTTATTACAAAGCTTTTGTATACATTCCTTTATATCGAACTTTACTGTATTGGAAATGTATGAAACTGTATATAATGCTAAGGATGTTCTGCTCATAAATCCTAACCATCACTAAAGATTCAGTCCCAGAACATCTGAAGTTTTAACAGAGCTCTGACATCAGAATTATTTCCAAGCATCTACTGCCATCTTGTGGCCATCGGCTGTTACTATACATCAAGGCAAAAGTGGCAGGCAATGGAACAGTGCAGTATATTGGAAAAGGGATCTTAAAATAGAAGTCCAGTCTTGAATATGATTAAATCACTGAATGGGATTACCAGAACAGGCCCAAAATAACTTAAGGGTCCGGGACCCCCTGACCTTCATTTACACAATGTCACTCAAAGATACACGTACAGACCAGGAAGAGACACAAAAAAGCTATAAAGATACCAAAACAACTACTACAGGCTGCAGAGACTTAAAACGAGGGGGGGGGGACAACCAATGACTAAAAAGAGGGGCAAAACAACTACAAATGTTGTGACCAGAAAGATACACACACAGAGACATACCACCACAGGGGAGAGGTGTAACAACGAGACACAAAACAACAACAAAAAAGGTTACACAACAAGAACGTCTGTGTGTCTTTCTTCTGTTTAGGAGAGGTTGGGGCTTTTCTCTTTAGACATTTCAACTCCACGGCTTCTATGCACAATACAATACAATACTCCATTGAATGATGTTATTGTTGTTTCTTCATCAACCAATGGAAGTTGGTGGTTCTTTTGTCATGTTTTTCTGTTGGTCTTACTTTATGCTGTAGTTAGACCTTGACGTAAAACCCCTTAATAATACATAATTGAATCAGATTTGATTGTAAGCCATTCAAATTGAGTTTGAGTTGAACTTATACCCACGTGGAATGGACGTAACGTTTTCAAACGTTGTCCTGATTTAAGAGCTGTGATCACAAAATGACTCATGCACCTGTCTGAGATGTTTCTCTGTTAGTGACCTCAGAGAAAAAGGCTATTTTGGAATTAAAGGTTTGATTTAGTTCAAACGTGTAATAGTTTAATAACAAAAACAATAGAGACTGAACAGGCTTGTATCATGTGATCACTGATCTAAAACTTAACCTATATTCAAACATGTTGACACTGTAATGTATATTTTGGGTTACAATGTTTTGTATGTGTGATGTAACTTACCGTTTGTGCATTTTTTTTTGTATAGTGTATTTATTGTTTTTGTACCGCATTTGTACTTCCTCTCCAGGGGACTATTGATGCACATTAGCAGTCGTGTGGTGCTTGGCCACTGTTAAATAAACTAATACAGTTACATTTGTGTCTAATTTTACAAAAATCTTTAAAATGCTGGAGTATATTTTCCTTTATTTTGAATCAAGAAAAATAAATAATAGCAATCTGGATTTATTTGCCATTTAACACATATACGCTTGAAAGATCCAACCACTTTAAATTCAAGGGGTTTGTGCACCACCAACACATCAAAGAGCACTTACTGTGAAATGCTCCTGGGATTTGTAGTTCTCATCGAGGTAGACGCGGGCTCTGTTGTACTCCTTCATCACATCACTGGACAACAGCTCTCTGATGGACAGAACACACACACATGCACACACACATCAGTAAATGTCAATACAATCTACCTCATTCCATTTCAATAAATAAAAAAAACACTTATTTTCTATTTATATATAAGTGCAATGAATGAAGCATCCTATGTTTGTATTTTAGTAGTAGGTTGGTCTATTTAAGTGTTACATTGTATGCTGCATGTTCTACAGAAACTCTATAGATTTGAATTGTCATATTGTTTATTCGTATATAGTAAGTCTTCATTTGTATGCTCTTTATTATTACTTCTTAATTTGTGTTCAACTCATGTGGAAAAGAAACCACTTAAAATATATATAACCTTTATCACACTAACAATTCTAGATACAGATCAAAGAATACATCATAATATAAATGACAGAATACTGAATCAATTGAAGCAGTTAGTTCAAGTTAGTGATGGAAAGACTGGCTCCTCAAATCACTGAGTCGAAATTCATTCTGATCCTACATTTACACTATTAGCATATTGTTTAAGGCCAACAACATGTGTTGCTGTGCCGACGTACAGCTGGGATGCCACCAGTGGGGGGAGCAGTCCTCCACTTTACTCCTGCATGTTCCAAATCGGGAGGGGGTTTCCCTCATGGAAACTGCTCAACTATTAACATAATCATCTAAAACTATTCTGAAAATGACAACATGAAAAGGGCATGAGCATATATGAGGATACTCACTTGACAAAACTATCCACGTGGGACATGGACGCCTCATAGTTCTTCCCCCCCACCTCCTGACAGTGCAATGCAAAGAAGTGAGGCTTGTGTGTCTGTATTGTCTGTAAGAAAGAGGAAAAACACAGGTGAGCAAGGGACAAACACTTCCACTCTATTGGTCAGTACACCACACCAGCTGTTACAGCACATTTGCTCAAACTAAATAAACCCTGAGCTGAATTATTCAGTCGTGCGCAAAACCTAAATGAGCCCGGCGCTTGGGGCTCCACAACTCTTCCTAACTCAACTGTGTGACATGCTACTATATTTACACAAGTCAAAGTGCCTTGCTAATGTAGGCAGAAGGCACTTAGAGAGCTTGTTCCACAAGAGTAACAGCGACACCTCTTCATCCAGCGTCAGGAGGGCCTGCAGCTCAGTGTGTACAGGGTGTGAGGGACCATTACACATCACTGCACCTGCTGACACACCACTGTACCAACAACAACAACAACAACAACAACAACAACAACAACAACTGCAGGATTATGGAAGGAATGCTTATCAGAACGTGAAATAGACTCCAGCATATACAGACTACTGTAGAAATAGGTTGAGATTAAGAAGTACTTTATTCATCTTTATGGGGAAGATTACCTTACAGATGTAGCACTTCATTTCAGACTCCAGTTTACAGATTCCTGCCTATGACCTGCCTAAGACCAGTATAGAGGAATGTTAAGCCCTCCCACTATTTTCCAAGAGGGCGTTGCCAGATTTTCAATTTCAGGTTTTAACCAGGAGATGGCGCTTCATTCACAAATACAGAAAGACAAGTTTCATGGACTTTCAGTTGTGTTTTGAAGAGCATTTGAACACATCAATATTTTAGATACTATACTAAAGTATATCTAATCTTGTACTTCAATAATATATAGTCTTTATATATTAAATAATCATAATAATAATGTAAATGTTTACATTACACTTCTTTATTTGTTATGCTCATACTTTTACCTTTACAATCGTTTGCTTTAACAGTGCATGACATTAAGGATTTTGGCCCTGTGGGCCATCTAAGCTAATTTACAGATGGCCCTGAGCCCAATAGAGATTGCCCTGAAAAATGCGCGCGGACGAAATGGCACGAAGGGTTTGGGGGGCCTCCCCCTAGAACATTTAGATTTTTCCAGGTCTTACTGTAGATGCTGTCTGGTGCATTCTCTAGACTGAATTATAAGATGAACCAGCACAATATTATATTGTACAATATCAATTTTATTCTTCATTTCACTTGTTTGTTTGCTCTTGTTTGCTCGCTTGCATGCCCTGCATAGCTATGAGAAATACTTAAGTTGTTGGTCAAGACACTTTCCATCTGATGAAGGCAAATGCCTTCCCAGATGTAAAAAAGTAGAAAACATTACATTCAGTTATAACTGCCAAAACAAACATTATTTACACTATTATGGCCCCTGTTAAAAATGTTTGTAATGTTATCTACTGTAAGTTGGTCGAATGAATGCTTCCTCATCGGAAGCTGACCGAGCAGACCCGAGCAGCAGTCGAGAGGAGCCGAGCGCATCCGCGAAGCACACAACATGGTGACGTCTGAGTTCCCGTTAGCCGGCAAATCTAAATCTCTTCGGTCAAAATAATTTCCCTTTTAGCGCAATACCGCTTCAGTTGCGCCACTTATGTGACAGACAAGAAGAGTATGTGACAGACAATAATAGTCAATTCTAATGTCTAACATGTAATGTGGAGAAAGAGATGTCCTGTCTGGGTTGATTGTGCGTTGATCTGTTGGTAATGCCTCGGGGTTCCGGTGGGCATGTAAACAAATGCATAATAATGCGCTATACTTTGTGGCCTCACCCAGTTGCATAGCGACACTTATTGTTTAGGTCAGGTGTCTTTTAATAAGCAGGTAGTCATATCATTAGCTAGAACTAGCTGCATCTGATCCATATGGACATAAACGCGAGTGAAGTCTAATCTGACGGGAGAGAGAGATCAGCTGCTGCTGACGAGTCGACACGCAGCTCTGCATGATCACATGCAGCGGTGAGCGGACAAAACACACACTTCAGGTTAGAATATCACACGTAGCTATTTTAATGACCTCTCAAACTACCTAAATGTAGTTAGTAGATAGTGTTTAGGTTTACCTGTCAGGTCCTCGGGGATAGGTGATCCGCGGTGCTGGATACTTGCATAATAGGTTGCGCCGATCGGAGCACCAGCAGGAGAGCGTTCAGTTGCCTGCGCGGTAAATATAGCCTTTTTTTTTTTTTTGGTTTTTTTTGT